GACCTCAACTTTGAACCACTCAGGTTGAGGGATGTGAGTTGTGGACATTTACATGGCATGACAAGTTCTACCAAATCACAACACCCATTAAGATTTAACGTCTCGATATTCGGAACCAACTTAAGGTCAACGGACCTCAACTTTGGACTACTCACGTTAAGGAATTTGAGTTGTGGACATTCACATGGAATGTGAAGTTCTACCAAATCTGAACATTCCATAAGATTCAACGTCTCGATATTCGGAAACAAGTTAAGGTCAACGGTACTCAACTTTGAACCCTTGAGGTTGAGGGATTTGAGTTTTGGGCATGGAAGTGGCATGTGAAATTCTACCAAATCATGACTATCTTGTAGATTTAATATCTCAAGATTTGGAGTTAGCCCAAGGTCAAAGGTCGTCAACATTGAATAAGGGAGTTGAAGGAATCGGAGTTTCGGAAGAACCTGTCATAAGAAAAAGAAAAGATGGAGAGTGTGTAAAAAGAGAGCAATAGATGTGTAGTGTCATAATATATAAATGATGCAAAACGATTACTCTTACCTTTCTCTCTCCCCGTTCCCAAAGTTGTTTCATGTAACGAATTTCAAGAGCAACAAGATTACTTGCTTGAAATGCTTTCGGTAAAACACGAAAAAGGAGAAAACGTGAATTTAGATATTGCAAAGAATCCGGTAAGTATGGGACATCTTCATCATACTCCAAATCTCTTGTGTTGTAGAAAATGTCAAGAAATCTAAGTTTCTCCATCTTTCTAAGGCCTCTCGTAATAGTTTTTTTATCGACTTTTTTCGCCCATAGCTTTATACATGTTGCTTCAGTCCCCTGAAATCCAAAAGTATTGACCGTGAAACTTACAGGTGTAAATGATACAAGACAACTCGCCAACTACTCGAGATCGACTTGGTCAAAACTCGGTCAACACTCGACTCGAATAGGCTCGGCTCAAAACTCGAACTCGACTCGAAATATATTAACGAGTCGAGTCAATCTACCCAATACTCGACTCAAAAGCTCGTGAGATACTCGATCTTTTTTATATACAATTAGGTAAAAATATAATCAGTTTTATAATATAATATGTACAATATAATGTAATAAAAATGTCGTATATTTTTTAATGTTTGAACAATATTGTACATTTTTAACTCTAAAACTAATCAACAGATTTTTCTACTAAAATCATAATTAAAAAAAGACAGAAACTACAAAAATTTTGCTGAAATTGTCCCACATTGGAATAGAGATAGTAAAAAAAGAATGAAAATGTGTTATAAAAAGAGAGGGAGATGAATGAAGTTTGTAACTTTGTTTTTTTGATGATGAAGTTTAAGGTGCAGTTCTTTAATCTTTTAAAATTTAAGAGAACACATTTAAGTTTTATATCCCTAAAATTTCATAAATTTCGCGGGTGAGCTTGATTCGAGTTCGAGTTGNTATAATCAGTTTTATAATATAATATGTACAATATAATGTAATAAAAATGTCGTATATTTTTTAATGTTTGAACAATATTGTACATTTTTAACTCTAAAACTAATCAACAGATTTTTCTACTAAAATCATAATTAAAAAAAGACAGAAACTACAAAAATTTTGCTGAAATTGTCCCACATTGGAATAGAGATAGTAAAAAAAGAATGAAAATGTGTTATAAAAAGAGAGGGAGATGAATGAAGTTTGTAACTTTGTTTTTTTGATGATGAAGTTTAAGGTGCAGTTCTTTAATCTTTTAAAATTTAAGAGAACACATTTAAGTTTTATATCCCTAAAATTTCATAAATTTCGCGGGTGAGCTTGATTCGAGTTCGAGTTGGAGCTTGATTCGAGTTCGAGTTCGAGCTCGAGTTTAAAAAATTGCAATCAAGTTTGAGTCGAGTTTAGTTTTAACTACTTGCGAGTTTTCGAGTCGAGTTCGAACTTGAGAAATGGCTGTCGAGTTCGAACTTGAGAAATGGTTGTCGAGTTCGAACTTGAGAAATGGCTATCGAGTTTGAATCAAGTATATTGATACTCGAAATCGACTCGCATCATTTACACCCCTAGTGAAACTTACTTAGGTCATGAGGATTGAAAATTTGTTGGTGTTTTTCAAGTTTACAAATAAATTTGATTCTTACCAAATCGTTAACCAATATATCTTCAATTTCCTCCGTAATCCACAATCGGGAGTGTCTTGCAGGCTCATTAAGGTTCGAACGACGAACAATGTATCTCCCCATTTCTTCTATATGGTCATGCATCGTCAAGCGCCCATCTTTAGAAATAGTTACAAGAGATCTGTTCTGAAGAACAGTCAAACCGTGTATAGCATGAAATCCACGGCTTTCAAGCGCTATGATTGCTTCTTCTTTCRYCCAMCVTTTCAATAGGCATGCAACATCTAGGAATATTTCCTTGCAATCGGTATCAAGACCCATATAGCTTAACTCCAGCTTTTGTAGAGTTTCATGCAATGGAATTTTTTCAAGTCTTGCGAGGGTATCTATCCATACATCCTCGTTTGCATCACAGAGAAACGAACCCAAAACTGTGATTGTTAAGGGTAGACCAGCAGCATAACCTATAACGTTTCTTGATAGCTCTTCGTACCCAGGATTTGGACTCTCTTTCCCAAATGCATGCCTACTCAAGAGACAAATTGCTTCGTCATCTGTTAATAGATTGACATCGTGAATATTTGAGTTCGCTACTTTGTGTGCTACCAACACTTGCTTCTCTCTTGTTGTGATGATAATTCTACTTCCCTTATTAAACCAATTAAGCTCACCCGCTAACGCCTTAAGTTGGTCTACATGATCCACATCATCGAGAACAATAAGAACCTTTCTACAACTCATCATCTTTTTTATCATCTTTTTCCCATCATGAACATTACTTATTTTGATGTCATGGGCATTTAACACATCTTTAAGGACTTGTTTCTGTAACTTCTTCAAACGGGATAAATTGGGATTTGAATTTTCCCTAACATTCTCAACAAAACTGCTACCTTCGAACCCAAACGATATTCGATCAAAAACAGCTCTCGCCAAAGTTGTCTTCCCACCACCTCCCATCCCCTTGATTCCTATCATTCGAACGTCATCAAAACCAATTTCTAAAGTTGAAACAATATCTCTTATTCGATCCTCCATGCCTATTAATTTTTCATCGACGCTGAAATTGATGGATCGCAACTCTAGTGAGATCTCTTCCACAATTTTTTGGATAAATTTAGCTTCATGCCTGTGTATTTAAAAAAGACAAAATTAGCTTGCTCAAAATCCCACATGAACAATTAGTTTAAATTCAGATATGTAACATACATGTGAATACGAATTAAAACGATTATATATGGATGAATTACCCATCTACAGTGTTCTTCAATCCAAACCCAGAAAGATTGGCTGCTTCTTTTAGAGCCTCTCTCCATTTTCCAGCAGCCTCTTTCTTTTCTTGTTTAGCAAAAGCTTTTCCAAATTCCCCACTTTGGTAGCGGACTTCAGTGGGTTCCACATCATAGAAGACGGGATAAGCAGTATGCTCAGT